ATCTCTTCTGGTTTTGAATGTCAAGGAACACCGCTTTCCTGCAAAAGAAGTTGAGCAGGCAGCGCCATGTCCCAAGGATTCAGCAGCAAACCGTCCTTGGAAACTGGCACCCCAACACCAACACGGATCACTTGGAAACCAAGTGAAGAAGCGAGTATCGGGGGTGCACCATGGTGTACCCCCGATCCTTGTGAAGTGGCTTCTTTACATTCCTGAAAGCAGCTCTGCTATCCAAGAATCTACACTGAACAAATCTGAACAAGGGATCTTCCCCTGGCCGCTTCTACCACTGCCTCTTCGTTTTGGATCGTTTTGGCAAACTTGCGATGTAGATCCAGCCATCCTCCAGAGCATTCCAGAGCCGAGCATCCATCGGCAGGCTGGTCCCACCGTAGAGCACCTCTCAGCTCGAGACGTTCGCATCTACGGTCAACGAGAACCTTTCCCGGTGGTGGATGAGGAATTTGTAGGACTGGTAGTACAGAACCTTCTTTCAGGACATTCAAGTCAATAGAGGTCTAACCAAAGGAACAATTCTCTTAGGTTTGCACCAGCTGCTGTTTTTCAGACAACTTCTGTACACTTCTGACGATGCCTCTTTGACTCATAGATAAGGCAACTCTATTGTGGAGTCAAACCATGACGATGGGCAGCCGCTGACGGAGAGTGCTAGGCTGCCGCTTTCAGTGAGAGATGATGCGGTTTTGTTTGTCTTGACTAGGCATCTGGCGAAGCTGCCTTGAGTCGACTTTCGGGATATCTTTCACCTGGAGGTGGAAGACCTGCGTAATAAATGCATATTTAAAACTTATTGCGTTTGTTGTGGCCACTGAACTCAGTTTGAGTGCTCCAGAAGAGCGGCTGCGCTACGGGTGGACTCTACTCGGCGTCCTGAAATGAAATGAACATGAATACTGTGGTCTTGCATCTTTGTGAACAATGTCAACTGGCGAATAACAAGAGATGCAAATCATTCGTAATTGCTTTCACTAAGAAGCTCACAAAGGGTACCCTCTCGAGGGCTGGCCCCGCCATGTTATTATGCATGCCACCCCAAAGTAAATGGAGCCTTCCTTCCTGCTCCTGGTCTGTTGCCTTTCCATTACTTGTCTTTCCTGTCATTGTCTGAGAGAACGTCTCGTTTTTCAGCAAACCTTGCTGGACTGGACCTTGTAAACCTCCTCTGCAGGAACATTTATTTTGATCCGGTCTTGGCATCTTTATGTGACGGATCCAATGATGTCCTTGCCGTCACCTGCCTGTTGAGCCAGCAGTACCGCGTTGAGGAGACGTCCGAAATCAGCATCTGTTTGTGGCTGACCAAATCGCTCCTCAACCGCTCTCGTCAATTGGGGTCAAGAGAACCTGGCACCTGGTCTTTTTGAGACTGATTGACAAACATTTGGAACACAAACACTATATCACTATATAGGTTGTACAGGGCTCGGAGGAATGAATGGATCAGGACGAGGTGTTAAATGATTCAGTATGTATTACAATATATACTGTACAAAAAATACTAAATGTCCTTCTGGTGAAATCACAACAACTCTAGCTTGAGACAAATCACAGTGTTACCGAAGGGTAAATACTAAAGAGCTAATCTGAGAACCCATCTAATAACAGAATGATTCCAGAAGTCTTCCGTAAGAGCTGTGGCTGCAAGATCCTTGCGAGTGACACAATAGGGGAGAGGAAACAAGGATCCTGTCATTCATGCCCACAAACATCTTGCCCACACCGGGCATGGATTTCATATGGAACCGGACGGAAGCTTCAGAGCAAGCGGATGTCGCATCTCTCACCCACCGTCTCTGAGTCGCGACCCTTCTCCCAGTCTCTGGCCGAAGATCCATAAAAACTGAGCCAGATGAACCGAGGAGTTGAGGGAGCTCCATCATGGCAGAACTGATCAATAGTGTGGTGACACAGTAGCCTGGCCAGACCGAAGGCTGGGAGAAAGGATCTTAGAATCAAGATGAAGTCTATTGGATCTAGCATCAAGAAAAACACCTTCTTTAAAGAAACATATTATTGGGGAATGATATCACACCATTCATGTTCCTTGTCACGACGTTCGGCAGTAGGTTTCAGTTTGCTTCAGTGCTACTCTCTTCTCTTTGAACAAACGCCAGTCACATTAACCAAGGCATCATCATGTCCAAGAAAGTGAATTCTTCCTCACAGGGCCTCACAGCAGCCATGCAAATGATTCAATATGATTCAATGACATGGCATGACCTGGCACACCCTAAGCCTTGATCATAGCTGACCAACTGGCCTTCCAAAAGGTATGTATCGAAGAGGTGCTCCGGCAAATCGAAGCAAAGAATTAAAACATTCGCTGCTGGGTGGTGAAACCTGAGCTGCAGAGAGAACCAGCCACAGGAGACTGTCTTTGCAACAACCGCCAACGTGGACTAAGCCTTATTGGACTAAGCAAACTCTACAGAAATGGACATGTTCTCTTTATGTTTGAGGAACTCCTTGGAGTTTCCAGGTAAGATCCAAGTGAAACAAATTGCTTGCCACCAATGATGCTATAGAGCAGTCGGACCATAATCTCTTTTGGGTAAACACATGTAAAAAGTGTGAGTGTGTGTCAATAAGCAAACCTCACATAATTTGTGTTCTCTAATGTTATTCGTATTTTGTCAGTGTGTAGTGTGACAGATCTGCGTATGGAAAATGCAGAATGTAGGCACATCATTTGGCAAATGCCCTGCAGCCAAGTAGCAGCACGGACTCAATTGTTCCGTAGTGATGCTGTCCGAATTGGTTCGCAGCCAAGGGGAAGAGCAAAAAGAAGTTCGGTCTTCCATTCTCCTGTGTCGTCGTTTTTCGAGCCACGCATCAAAAAGAGAAAGCATCTGGTTCGCATTAGTTCTGCTTCGCATCTCCTACTCTTCATTCCCTTCGGCCCTGTTCTCCAGATCTCAGCCCTGACAGGTCGCCGTTCGGCCCTGTTCTCATCGCCCTGTTCTCGTCGCGTCGACGGACGGAAACGTTGGGCTCTTGAGCGGCCTGGCGGGGTCAATGTGCCCATGCCTCAGTCTCAACAAAGCCTTGCAAAATATAATCTTACTAATACTGACATGGTCCATGGTCTCTTTCATCACAATCAATACACGTATATACGTTGCATGGAGGCTAGCTGAAGAAATACCCCATCCTTCCACAAAACCCCTGCAATCCGCTGGGGCACACAAATCCCATTGTCCAAAATGATTGTGCAACTGGGTGTCCAGTATGTACCCCTCATAGAAGAAACTATGAATGGGGCAAACTTGGTAGAGGCAGTTTCTCATTTCCAAGTGGCTCCTTCATGTTGTGATCTAACATGGGTGTCAATATGCACACACACACACACACACCTTCAAGAACCACCTTGGTGCAAAGGACAAAAAAACAATCAAACTACATTTATGAACACATTGCAGTCGCTCTCTTTTGGAACACCACCTTCCCCTCCAACTCCCAATTTTGTCCTGTAAACATTGGCTCTGGCGCTTTTGGAGTCTCTCCTGACCAGAGAGCACCTCATCCATGGTGAATGCACGGAACATCCCGCTGACTCACATGTGGCAAATCCTATCATTCAAGCTTTTAGTCCGTCTCATATACTTATCAAACATACGTAAATATTGGGTAGCTCAAAATACTGGTGGGCGAGTGCAATAATTAACCACATAGACATACATTGTCCCCATACCAAACTTGTCTCAAGTACAATGTGCAAAATCGATTCGGTTTGCTCGGTAGCTTGTGTCGACATCAACAACAAACACTGACATTTGCAATGTTCATCGACACTCATAGCTTGCAACCTGCTAATTCGCAGGGTAACCTTCAAACACACCAGGCCCTGTTCTGAAGCTGCACCCATAGCAAACCAGCGACAAGTAATTATACAGTCAACTTCAATCAACCCTAAAGCTTCTTCTCTCTTCACCAAGGGGGGGTAGGAGCAAGGACGCTACTAGGGGCTCCTGGCCTTACTACTAGTAACAAGAAGCTATTAGAAAAAATGTTCACCAAGAAGCCCCCTGATCCTGCGCAGCCGCCCGAGCTGCCAGCAGGAAGGGGATGATGGGCCAGCGCATGGCGCACCACGAAGAACCAGCGGCATTCCAAGAGCTTTTCCCAGGTCCAACAACTGTCGTCCCGGGGGGCTCGTAAGGGTAGGGCTAGGTGGGCTGAGTGGGCTGGGTGGTGTGGGGGGGGGGGGGGGGGGTGAAGCTTGGAGAGCTCAACAAGATGGCGGGGCTGCAGGCTGCAGGCCTTGATTTTGGACCTCTCTGAGTGTCTGGGGGCTTGCGCAGGAACTTAGTGGAGGGGCTCAATTGCAGCACTGGAGGTCACTTTCATCTTGAGCGTGTCTGAATAACAAGTAAAGTTCCCAAAACAATATCTTGCAAGGGTGCTTCGGCTGATCTAGCAAATCTTCCCCAGCTTGATTCATCTCGGATCTTGCTTGAGCAGCTTGCCAAACAAAGGCATACGGTCAAAAGACATGATCTCTCAATGACACTGAACTTTGCCCCCCAAATGGACTTTGCTGTAGTATTGTACCAGGAAATGCCTTCATTAGAGGGGCAATGTAAGCCAAAGCCAACCAACTAAATATAGCTCTCTGACCATGCCTTCGCAACTAGTCCAACAGAATGGGGACCCTTGTGGAAAGGGAATAACAAGGATGGGCTGGTTTGTGGCCGCTGGGGATACTTCACCAGGTTGAAGCAAACAAAGAACGGCCTTGTTCACACTGCCTCAAGGGTCTTGAGAACCTCACGCAAGTCCAATTGTTGTTGCCCAGCTTCGGTTGCTTCTTTTACCTTCCAAAACCCGCCCCATGGACCGAATGTTTCGACATGTTTCGATGGTATGGCTCAAAGCACTCAAAAGCATCACGAGTACTTTGGATGCCCTTGAACATGTATTGCGGAGCTGGGGTTTATCGGGGTGCGCTTTCCTCATCCCTTTCTGATACTATTCATTCTTCATCGGCCCAGCCAAAAATTCAGCGAGAGCTGGTTCGTCGCATCTGTTTCTCCGTAGGCTGCCCACGTCTTCCACTCGGGGTGCTGTGCTTTCAAGCCTTGGTGCAATCGGACAATGCAATCGGACAATGCAATCGGACAATGGATCAATCATGTTGGACGAAATTGGAATGCATCATTTTAAAGGGAGGATCTCTGTGCCAGGTGGGGTAGGATTTTCTTCCAGCAGTAAGAATCCTCTCTTAGGACAACGGTTTGCAAGTAGGCACCCCCAGTGACCTAGAATTATATTCACAGAACTGGCCCGACTGGGATCACAAACTTACCTGAACATCATGTGTTCATGCTTTGAAGATCTTTTTTTTCAATCTACGATTTGATATCCCAACCATAGTGGCCAAAAAAAACATCAGTCAAATGGGGTTGAACAAACAATCTCCAAGCTGGACCGTCTTGAGTACGCGGCGCTGCAGGTTCTCCTGTGCATCTGGCACACCCTGGACTGCGGCCTGCAGGTGCTTTGCGACAACAATCAGCATGCAATTCATGTAGGGTCTATGACAAAATATGGGCAGGTATTTTAGGTCGGGTCAGTTCTGCCGGGAATATCGGCTGTTGCAAGTTGTTGATAGAAGCTCCATGGCTGCCTTAGATGATCCTTTCCATTCATGTTGTTTTAATAAGAAAGGTGGTACCTTTGCGAAGCTCTCACCCACAAAAAAATTGCCCAAGTCAAACCGTAGGTGGTTGCGTTCATCTACCCTTTAGATCCTCCCAGTCCAACCTAGCAAAATCTATTCGCTGTCATGCAAAAATAACACCATCACAACAAAAAAATGATCCGTGCACCCATACTATACACCCAATATACACCCCTATAGTCCTGGAGATTGACCCATTCTGCCATGCCGTCCATTCCCAGGTGCTATGTGCCACTCACTGGGCCCGGTCAAGACCGCCGAAACGTATGAGTCAGGGGAATCAATCATCCCAAAGTAAAGGTTGAACATGTTGAACATACAAATACCTGCAAACACCATCAAACACCTACCAATCCCGCAGTCTTGAGATTTGAACAGATCTACTGGAGCTGCACCAAAGGTCCCATCCTATTATATACTTTCTCTCAGATCCTGGCAATGTCGCATGATGTCGCGATGCCCAGCCGCTCCGCCCTTTTTTTGGGTGCCGATGCCCAGCTGCTCCGCCCTGGGCGCAGTGGATCACTAGACAGACCGGTTCATCCAAAACATCTGCAATGGAATGGAATATCCACACATGTCCAACCTCACAACCACAACCCCACTCTCTTTTTCCTACAAGCTCTATAGGAAGCTCATCTCTTGCTAACACTCCAATAGTAAAAATCATGTTTCAAGGACAAAGGACCCCCCGATCTACAGCCCTGAAACTCTCGGCCACACATCCAGTCCCAGAGGCAGATCTCCAAGCTGATGCAGCTGGTAGATGATGGCCTCCATGCGAGCGTCCACCGGATCCACCCACCTCGATCCACCTGAGATGTGACTCGACGTTGTTGTTGTCCACATCGCAACTCACTTCGCCCAACAACCCCCTGGGAGAGCTCAAAAGGGAGCTACGATCACTTTCTGAGTCCGAGCACCACTCACGAGTCACAAGTCACCCTCACAGCTTAGCACTTGTTGATTTTCAAGAGTCAGCAACATAATTTGTTCTCTCTCTCTCTCTCTCTCTTCCTTTCTCCTTCGATGCCCCAACACAGGGCAAAAATCAAGGGAGGCAAGGTACTGAGAGAGGTCGGAACCTGCTGTGGGACATCTGGCTTGCTGGCATAGTCGAGGAGATCCTCAACCACCTGTGCGAGCGACTGGTGTACGAGGCCCGCATCAAACACCTTCTTTGTACCATGATGCTGGGAACTGGGATCATCCATGATCATCCTGAATATCCTGAATTTACATGAATTTACATTCAAGTACGAACCTCCCAATGAATCACCTGACCCACCAAGTCATGCCAACCGCAAACCCATGTTGCAGAAGCATTGTGGTGCCTCGACCACTTCTGGGCTGTCGGCAGGGGCCTGTGGGCCTCAAATGAGCAATTGGGTTGCCACTGACCTCGCATGGGTCATTCTTTCCTAGAATCAAACTCATGATCATTCACATAAGCTTTGAGGATAGAGAGGTTGTTAGCTTTTCTGAACAGGAGTTAAAAACGCCATAGAAAACAAACAAAACAAACAACATGCTGATTGCTTTTTTTGGGGAGGGCGTGGTGCAAATCAGTCTCAAGACCAGGAATTGTATAGTTGAACCCGCGAAACGCATGGCCCAGGTTGATTCACCAAGGAGTCTACAACTTCGGCCTCCCTGACAAATCTTGCTGCAGGAGTAGATCCAAATATAGATCATAATAGATCCAAATACTGATACAAATAGCTTATATCTGTGCTAGTTATGTCCTCCACAAAATTCCCTGTGAGCTCAAGCCTTGACTGCCAATAAAGGTGTGTTAAACATGTTATCCGGTACGCCAGACTTGCTCGACTCAAATGCTTCGCCATTCCCTTCAGCCTCTCTCCCGATGCAATTGAGCAACCATGTGCTAGGAAGCTCTCCGGACCTTCCGAGGCAAATGCGCTCTCCGCAGTTCCTAGGCTTCGTCGGGGCGAAGCCCTGCAACATCGACGGCGGATTCATGGAGGTTTATATATACAATCCCAGCCCAAGAAGCCATATTGGCAGTCAGGGGGTTTCAAGGGCTGCAACAGAACACCAAATATACAAACGTGTGTATTCTGTGTCTAAAACATCAATGACAAATGACATGCAACAACTTCTTTGGTAGTTTGATGACGCATTATCATGGTCGACTCGGGCCTGGGTCACGCGAGATCGGCTCCAACGCTACTGGCCATGGAGCCATCTTTGTGGGACCGGCTCGCACGATGAGGATTCGCCGAAGCATCTGGAGGAGGCTTTCTTGGGCCTTCCGACCCGCTCGCAAGACCTCGAAAGCAAGCTGCGAAGGCTCCAGGAACGGCTTGTTGTCGAAATGATCTAGAGAATCTGAGAGTTTGTCTTTTCATCAAGACATGTTCATCCAAGTTCAATAGTGATGTGTGTAATTAAATGCTGAGGTGCCATTAACTCTGACATGGTCTGTAAACCATCAAAAAATGAAATTCCATTTCTGGCAAAGTGTCCAAAGCTTCGAACCGTGGCATTCTTGACCTCATTGCTTTGTCGTTTCGGATCTGCGACATGATGGGTTCCATCTGGCACGCCTCGCGAGGCGTGCAGATCGGGTGTAAACTCACATGCAAATCATTGCAAATCACGTGGAAAACCCGACACGAGGCTAGTCAAATGTAAGTGCGAAAATAGCCAGTCAAATCACGAACAAGCAGAGATCAGAACAAAAGCAGCGCCTATTCTTTTTTCAGATCGCGGGGTAAAAAATGGTAAAAGAACTGCAACTACTACCTCAGGGCAAATTCTTCTGTTAAGATCTATTGCAGTAAGTGTTTCTTGTTCCGCTTAGAAACACACATGTCTCCTTCCAACCCGATACTCGTGCTTGACCTTGGGAAGTCTTGTGAGGTCTCTGGTGGTTTGGGGATGGCTTCAGCAAAAAGCTGGTCAATAGGCAAACAAAGTACAGTACTTTGATTTATTTAGGACTAGTTAACTAGTTAATGTAATTACTGCGATACACACACACAAAGTCAGCAAAATTCAAAGTTTCGATTGTCAAGACATTTTGGCTGCTTATCAACAGAACAACATGTTCTTGATATTTCTTGATGTGGACCACAACATCACCTGTCCGTCAAAATGCTGGTATTGAAACAAGGTCTGTGTGCATTCTGCGATGCCGTGCTATCTCAACGTTCACATCTATATTATACACATGCAAGACACACAATTTGACAACAAACACTGCCGAGCAACCTTTTAAGTTGCCGTCACTACCGGTCAATTGCCAGTGATCACCATCGCCGTCAGCAGCACTGCCTGGGTGGCCGCACTCCGGTTGCAAATCGTGGGGTCGTGCCAAGAATTGGCGGATTTGGCCATACTTCACCCAACACAGTCCTTGAAACTGCAACACCAAAGAATCATCCGCACTGAGCACCACGTGGGCCAATGACAGGTGCGTTGCAATTCACACCATCAAACATGGCGGAGCCAAACCTAATTGGTTTCAAACAACACAAACACAACAACACATAATACATCAAACACGTGGAAGCCACTGCCTTCCAACCACTCTTTGCAGACCCTGACTGTTTCACTTCCAATCTGTTTCACAAGCGCTGAACCCCCAAGCAAGCCACTGAAAGATCGCAGATTGGAGGAAAGCTTGGCTTCGGACATGCTCATGGGATCTGCCTCCGGTCCAGTTGAGGGAACCAACGGAGAATGCATTCGGTGCTTTCGGAAGGCTTTTGCGGACCAGGGTCAAATTTGGTGATGTTCGCTCACTGCTTGTTTCACGGCATAGAAACTAAACTAAACCGGTTGACGATGGGTTCCCAGCAGGTGCAACCGTTCTGATACAAACAAACTGGTATAAGTATAAGGCACACTATGTATTGAATGAACTCTACAATACCGAATGGTAATTATACGTACGAGTACAGTAGAGTACAAAGTTTCCTGTTTATCAAGCAGATTGTGTCAAGAGTACTGTCCAGTCCTCGTTCATCTTCAACTGCTGGCACACAGTCACAAAGCGGATGTGATGGCAACTCTTTAAAACCTCTTATCTGGCAGTTAAATTCATCAAACAAATACAAACAATACCATGGACATGAACCGCCAAACTCTTTTTAGGACATCTGGTGGGATTCACGGACATCCACGACATCTTCACCTCTTCCAATGCTTTGGTGCCCTCGGCACCCTCGTCCATGTTTGCAGATGTTTCCTGCCCAGCACAGAACCTAGGCATGGCAGATCTGACCACTTTCGGGTTATGGCTACAATCACACCACGTTCCACCAATGAGATTGACACTCAGAATCACAAAAAAAAACATCCCAAAGGTCCAAAAACAATTTCATTCATTTTCCATATGCTCATATGTCCGTGCTGCTTATGAACCGCCAAGAAACACATCCAAGGCTAGGTGAACATCCGTTTGAACAAACTGTCTTTCAGGGTTGTGATTTGAAATTACTTCCACCCACGTCCTTTGTCTCAGAACTTGGAGGGTTTTGTTGGGGGGGGCGGGAAACTGGCCGTGCAGGATTCTCACACGTGGATTCAAATACGAAGGTTCTAGCTCTCTCCTGTTCAAGGTCTTTGAAGGAACGTCTCAATCCAAATGTAATTCGCGGTTTGCTGTGTCTTTGTACTTTCGTGCAAGGATCTTCAGAATTGATACACTTGGATCTCAGGCAGTACTTCCAATGCTCGCACAGTGGCAGCAAAGCAAATGACAGCAACAAACCATACTTCAGAAGTCTATTCTGAGCACTGAACACACTAATAGGTGTCCCTTCATCCTTTCTTGACTCAAAATAGGTCTCTGCTGCATCTGCTTAATCGGGAACATCCACAATGATGAGACCTTGATCTTCTAGTAGAAAGACTCAAAATAAGAATCAGTCACGGCATTGCTGCATCCGCTGCTTGCTAGCGGCTAAGTGCCCCCATCCACGGTAACCACACGTTTGCATGCTGCACTGCCATTTGGGCTGGTGCAAAACATACCCCATGATGGTTGACATACAGAAACTGCTGGCTGAGCGTGCCGAATGGTTTCAATGTGGTCCAAGAAATGTGTAGTTGTATGACTTGTTTTTGTGGCTGTATTGACTGTACCTGAGAAGGGGGGAAAGAAAGCCAGTGGAAGTTTACTCGTTAGCCGGACGCGCGGTGGCGCGCGCACCGCACGTCATGATAAGGTTAACATGCGGAACACATCCTTGAGGGAGCCCTTGAGAAAGTTCCTGAGAAACCATGAACATTATAGTCAAAACAAATCTCAGTACCGCCTCCCGCATGCGCTTTTTGGAACACCCTTTTGGTCAGACTTCGGTCTGGCCGAACGCTTCTTCCGTCCCTTCTGAAGCAAAGCTGCGCTACTGGAGGTGTGCATAGACTGGTTCTCTCTCTCTCTCTCTCTCTTTCTTATTAAATATAGAACATACACGTATAACATGTTGCAAAGGACTGGTATCCCGAGCCAGACTTGGAGCTCAAACGCCCCAATAGATGAACCCCCCTGGTCGTCGAAGCTGGAGTCGTTCTTGCGCTAAAACACCAACGATATATCTCAATACCTTTGGTGGTTTCTGGAGTCAGCCCTTTGTGGTTACCCTAAGTCAGCCTTCGAGGCGCCTGCCGGTTGACTTTGGTTGTCATGGAGTCTTTGCGACTCGAAGGGTCACCCTGGAGTCAGACTTAGAGCCCTAAAGCTGAGTAGCCCAGTAGCCTGACCCCAACTTGATGATGCAAGTGATGCCGAAACAGGTTGGTCTTGCATCTTTTGCATTACTAACTCACAAAAACGGTAGGCCGTAAAAACATAAAGGCACCAGCCAGCAGTGCGGCACACATAGTCGCGTCTGCCCCCACACTCTGTTTATTCACTTCGTTCGCATAAACTGGCTTCAGCCTAGCCTATTGGCTGGCTTTCGTGATTGTCCCAGTCTTTCCACAAAAATAAAGGAGAAGAATTTCCAACACACAAAACAAACACAAGCCTTCCATGGTCCCAAGGTCACTTCCCTTTCCGCCAGGTGCCTCACCCACTCGTCTTTCTCACCCAGCTGCCGGATGTACGGAACTTCTGCGTCGACGTCGCTCGAAGGATCGGGGCAGGGCGCTGGTGCCGCAGGCGGCGCTTTGGTCTCCCTGCGGGAGAAGGGTGGCTACCGGGTATGGACCGGCAGGCGAGATTAGGCGCGGCGGGTAGGAACGCCATCCTGTGGCTGAAAGTCAAGAGGCACAGGCACCCATGGCACACGAGCGCTTGAAACCGGTGAAGGCTTTGACTGATCCGCCGAATCGAGATATGGATCGTGTGGACATAATACCATTCAGGCACTCGGAGGTCAAAGGAGTTTCGGGGGGGCTGTTGAGAGTTGTGCCAGGCATGCTGTCCTTTTCTCTAAGCCGTAAGCATTGGTACACCTCAAGTGTGAAAGACACATAAGTAAGCCTGTCAAAGCCAAACGAGGGGATTCTTGAACCAGTGGGTTCTGCTTACTCACTTACCTACTTACCTACCTATTTTCTTACTTACTTACTTATTTACTTACTTACTTACTTACTTACTTACTTTCACCTGTTTTACTTTCAATCCCACTCTCGCAAAAGCATAGAATAGAAGAAATACCCGGGGACCCTGAAATAGGAACTTTGTACTATGGGTTCAATTGTTGCGGATCTTCAGACCATGTGCACTTGGAATGGAAACACAAACAGAAAAACACACGACTGTATATATATCAGAACTTGCCCTTGCTAAAACCCTGATGAACATGCACAGGCACAGGTTCCATATCAATCTTCCTGGGAATAGATTGCGGATGACCCTGGTTCTTTAGAAATTACACCATAATTGCCAACAAAGAGATCGAAGTGACATGAGGTCCAACACAACTTCAAGATACCAGTTCCCTACGGTGGGGATTGCAATGGGATAAAAACCTACTTCAATTGGAATGAGAACGACACTTTTCAAAAGAATATTCATCTAGGTTGTTTTGATTTGCTTGTAAGGCGACCTCTTCACACCAAATACGTTGTAACTGCGTGTATCATCCTTCTAACCATGGCTCTTAAAGAGTTATATTAAGTAATATATCATATATCTGTTCAGTCACCTCCTCAATGGATCTCTTCGTTTTCGCTTTGTCTCCTCGGTGGAGCTACAGTGTCTTGCTCTACTAGAGGGCAGGCCACGTCCAAAAGTCGACATCCAAAACATCACTTTGAGGCCACCATGGGCATTAACATAACAGTCTTTCTAGGGATGCGCTTGGCACTTTCGGATTAGCAATTTGCCTAGGAGTCTGATCAAAACACCAGTATACACCAGTCATCAAATGATTTGTCTTCCTCCCTGGGCTATTGTGTCAAAACAGCCACCGTCAAAACACCATGCATCTCTACCCCCCCATTTCTGCGCCTCTTCGCAGTGAAGCGCAAGCAAAGCCTTGGACCACGGGGTGGTGAGTGGTGGGTACCCCCGTACTGACAACACCCCAACCACTGGTTTTGCCAAAAAGAACTCATACAGCTTCACCATGGGCTACTAGAGGGCGGCTAGGTTTCCTCTTTAAGCACATTTTCAGTACGACCCACTCTGAGATGCCCAATCCTTTCAGTTGGCTAGCATCTGGGACAGCACACAGCTTTCCACTGAACTATTGGATTTCCAAGTATGTGTGTTGGCTTGCGTGTTTGTTTGTTCTAATGTACCAGTCCCTTTAACAACCATACGCCATAACACACGTATATATATATAACAAAAAAAAACATGTCCTGATCAACTACGCTCTCTTACTCCCAGTCCCTGCCTAGACACACTCCATCAACCAAACAACTGCGCGTCCACACCACCCGGCACCTGGGGCCAATCCCTCCAATTCTCCGAGGCTCTGCCGAATCAAATCCTGTGTAGAACTATTCTTTCTTCGCAACGCCTTCACGACCGAAGTCAGGGAAGCTTCTTCGAACCTGAGAGCACACGGGTGCACACACCACAGAATGCACATGAATGCAGTTCAACTTCAACAATCTTCAACAAACCTGGATTTAACAAGGTTGACTGACAAATTGACCCCACTGCAGTGACAGTGGAAACATGCGGAACCTATATATAGGTACCTCTACTGAAGAAACATCCAAGCCTATACCTCTCCGTGTCCCATATCTACTACATAATCTACATATAAATCATATAATTAGATATTATGTTGTTATTGTCATCTCCTACTTCGTGGCCCCTCTCCCAAAGCTTTCCAACTCGTACCATTCCTTGCCAAAAGAGCTGGGCCCGCTTGAAAGGCAACTTCAGTAAAAGCTTCAGCGCGGCCATGGCCACCTCCATGCCCTCCTTCTCCCTGTGTGCAAAGGGAGGGCATGTGCGGTGATGTTATCACAAAAGCGAATCACAGCCTCTACCAGATACACTTCAGACCCTCCGGGCCCACTCCAATTTCAAACCTACATGCACACGACCACAAGCCAAGAAAAGAAAGTGCTGACTGCCATTGTGAAGCAACTGCTTATGCTCACCTTCCCAACAGCAGGAAACAACAAATGCAGTGCACGGGTCATGGTCTACAGAGTCTACAGGATTACAGGATGTGTCGTCATGGTGGTGCCTGCAAGTGGTGGTGGTGGTGGTGGTGGTTATTTGCTTTCTAGGTCTGTGAATAGAGGTGTGAACACCTGAAGGCTTTTGATCTCAAGAGAAGGAAAAAAGGCCCGCTTGTGATCCTTTCAAGGGTTATGAGCCCAAGCTCTTTTTAGGCGCCTTTCTCGGGCCATGGAGAGGGCGCGATCCTCACCGCCAGGGTTCGACCTCATAAATCCCTGGTGGTCTGAGAGGATTCGCAACGAGGTTGCACTCCGCAGCCGACGACCGGAGACGTTGCCGGCGGTGCCCTGCGATGGCGACGAGGATCTGGAAGGGCCGGTGGAAGGTCCGGAGGCAGTGCCGCTTGAAGGCACGGGTGGTTGGATTGGCAAAGGCCGCGGTTCAGCAGCCGAGCGCCAGTCGGGACGTGGTTTCGTCACGCCTCCAAGCCATAGCCATGGCCACAGATCGGAAGGTCGCGGTGGTGGGGGAGCTCGCCAAACTGAAGGTCGAATGCCGGAGGAGGGTCAGCCAGGACAAAAGGTTGATCGTCGGCCAGATCGCTCCATGGGGCCGGTGCCGCCTGAGGAATCGCCCCCTGCGGTCAAGCTCACTGGAACTAGTGAGGTGGCTCGGAAGGACCCTGAAAGTCTTCAACGAGCTTTTGAAGCAGAAATGGTGCTATTTTTGAGGGAGCAAAATAGTCATCTTCAAGCTGAAGTAGAGCGCCTTAGAAGCCTCCAACAGCAGCAACCCATGGGTACTATGTCCACTCCCTCGTCGTGGGAAACGGTTGATGGGGGAACAGGTGATGGGCTTCGTGGTGACGGTGCTCATGAACATGTTCATGGTGGTGTGGGCCCCTCTGGTCATGATGATCGTTTGACTGGTGGTGTTTCCAATAGGGTTCATGGTGGGGAAGTTTCGCTTAGCACTCCACGGGGGAGAAGTCCTACTACACGAAGGCCTCCTTCTGGACACCATGTTCGGTACACCCCCAACGGAACGCAAATTCCGTGTGGACCTCCACCGCCTGAAGTGATGGCACCACCTGTACCACCGTTCCCAACCAGTGTCTCGGCAGAAATTCAGAGTGCCTCGGCTGGATTTATGTTCCAGGACTATGAGTCGCTGGAAGTGAAGCGGCGACAGGACTCTCAGTGGGTGCCGCTGCATTTGCGTGAAGGCAAGTCATTTGTGCCTTTCGCTCCTCCAGAACCTCGGGCTGAGCATTTGGAGCGCATGCGAGAAGGGGCCAGCTGGGCGCAGTCAGCAGCTTGCTCGAAAGATGTGCCTCCCGCTTCGTCTCATGAAGCTGGCTTTCATCGTGGCTCGGAGTGCCAGGGTTATGGTTGGGGTTCCGACCGTCGGCCTGGGGTGGATCGTGTTTTTGATCGTTTTTCCCCTGGTGCAGTTGGGGATAGTCACTATGGGAATCGAAAACCCAGTCCGGAGTTTCGAGAGCGGGGTGAGCCGCACTATGGTCGTTGGCCGGGTGATGGTGGCACTTCACCAATGCCTTTGCCGTGGGGCGAAGGCGGTGGCAATAGCAAGGCAGAGCTCGCAGAGTTGGCAGCTGATGCATCGCCTTTGGAGCTCGGTGACTGGCTTGCAGTCAATGGACCCGTGCTTCGGGACCTTTCGTCGGTCAGTGCTCGATGGTGGAATTTGACCCTGCGTGAAGCTCAGTGTTTTTATGATCGCTGGAAGACTTCGTCTCCGCTGGAAAGAGTTCAGATTGCACCTCGCCTTCCCGACGAGTTGTATGACAGCTGCTACCAGCGAACAGAGCAGCGAGGAGTGAACTTGCTGTTGCGTGCCATCCCTGCTGACCAGCAACAGGCCTTGATCACGGCCAGAGAGCTGAATTCAACAGCCCTTTTGTTTCGCCTCATGGTCCGCTACCAACCGGGCGGCTCTGGAGAGAAGGCGATTCTTTTGGCCAAGTTGACAACGCTGGACAAGGCGACAGGAGCCACTGATTTGGCTGCATCTCTCCGCTCTTGGCGTCGTCATTTTGCCAGGGCTCAAGAGATTGAGGCGGTGCTGCCGGACGGTGCATTGTTGTTGAAGGCCTTAGAGCCTGCTTGCAGTTTGGTGGCTTCGCTTGACGCCCAAGCGTCATTTCGACTGGCTCAGAGTCGTTTGCAGTTGGCCATTGATCAGCAGCCTATCCACCAAAGCATCTGGAGGTTTAGTCAGTGTTTGTTGGCTGAAGCTGAAACATTGTCGTTGATGATCAATGCTCCACCTACCACACCTTCGCCCATCAAAGTTAAACAGTTAGAAGCCTCACAGAAGCAAACTTCGGGTGTTGGCACAGGGGAGAAGGGTAAGGGTGGCAATGCAGGGGTCTCTACAACCTCCACACCATGCCGGTATTTTCGGTCGGATGCTGGCTGCAAGGCTGGAAAGAATTGCAAATGGTCACACAGCTGGGAGGGCGTTGAGGACAAAAATGCCCGATGTTGGATTTGCGGCAGCAAAGAACACCGCAAAACAGAATGCCGATTGAAGTCACAAGGAAAACCTTCCCCTGCCAAAGACACCAAGGATGGCAAGAACAGTGGTGAGCCCGGTTCGGGCTCAGGGGGAGGAAAAGGGGCTTCAAAATCATCATCCTCGTCCAACGTCACTGCAGCCAACCAAGCTCCCATCAAGGTGCAGGAGATGGAGGTGTGCTCTGATGGAGGAGGACAAGTACAAGATTCGCAGTCCAATGAAGGGGCATCAAAAGGGGGTGAGACTGGGGCAACCTCAACAACAAGTGAGGCTTTGTTGCAGGAAGCGACCAAATTGCTAAAGTCCCTCCGTGTCCCACAACTGCGCGTCATCAAGATCAGCCAGCTCGAGCATGAAGCAGGTGACCTGGTGCTTTTGGACTCCGGTGCCACACATGCCCTACGACCAGCGAAGACCTGGCAGGAATGGCAAGAGGCAGCACCCACTCAGGTCACTTTAGCTGATGGCATCACATCCAAGCTTCGGTTGAAGCCTTCATCAAAGGTCCTGCTCTCGGACCCTCAGGACGAGGCGATGGGCAAGTCCTGGATTGTGCCTTTGGGTGGCATCGCCGAGCTGGGGTACAAGTTTGAATGGAAAGGAAGCCTATGTGGTCTCCGTGATGAAAGGGGCCAAGAACTCACAGTGATGGTTCAGCATGGGTGTCCAATGGTCACTCGGGCGGTGGGCCAAGAGATGATTGATCAGTTGGAGCAGCGCCAGAATCATGTCATCAAGAAGGCGTTGCTGGTGAAAGCGCTGCTGGAAAGTCCACAGAGCAGTGATTTGGCCTCTCTTCAAGACTCGACGGAGTTGGCCCTGACGGTGAAATTGAAGGCCCTGTTTCCAGCTCTGCCTGATGAGATCCTGATGAGGATCATCCCTGACCTGACGTCACTACATCAGGGATTTGATGGACACCTTCTTCCATGGAATCGGCGGAAACGCCGTAGGCTGGACAAGGCAAAGCAGATTGTCCTGCATTTGTTTTCGGGCCCTGACACGGACTACTGGCAGAAGACATTGCAGCGGGATGGTGTTGAAGTCTTGTGCATTGATTTGCAAGCCCCCATTGCAGCAGATCTTCATGATGATCATGTTTTCCGGTTCCTGCTGTCGTTGGCGGCCTCAGGCCGAGTGAAGGCCCTGGTGGGTGGGCCACCTTGCCGGACGGTGTCGGCACTCCGATACCAAGACGATGGCGGTCCTGGCATCCTGCGGACGGAACAACATCCGTATGGCCTGCCGACTTTGTCTCCTTCGGATGCGGAGCTGGTGAATGGAGACAGTGTGCTGCTTTTTCGAATGTTGGCCTTGTACGTCCTTTGTGAAGATGTTCGCCTTCCTCAAGAGCCTCAGACAGCCTTGGCCATCGAGCAGCCTGAAGATCCCGCCAAGTACCGTCCAGAAGAAGAGGTACGGCGGAAGCAATTCATGTCCATATGGCGCACCAAGGAGTGGCAAGATTTCGCCACGACCTACCAAGTCAAGTTGATCAATTTTGATCAAGGTCCAATGGGCCACATCAAGAAAAAGCCCACTTCGCTGGCCTTTGTCATGCGAGACCTTCAAGTGTTGAATGAAGTTCGCGGTCCGCCAAGTGGTGTCCAACCAGAAGATCCAGCTCCTGCTCGCAACCAAATGACCATGCAGGAGCGTTGCGCTGAGTCCAAACAATGGGCCGCATGGGCCCCGGGCTTGAAAGTTGCTTTAGTGTTGGCTTTGCAAGACCATCTCCATCGTGGCTCAACGCCGTCTTTGGAAGCTGCCCTTCGTCCGTTAGGCCAAGTGGCTTTGGATGGCTGGCGCCAGCACTACCTCAATGACCACATGCCAGCTAGACGCGATTGCAAACATTGCGTCAGATCCGCTGCTCGCAGCAAGCCACACAAAAGGATTTCACACCCAGAAGCATACACCCTGAGTGTGGATCTTTCTGGTAAGATGGTGATCGGCCAAGATCAACATCGACAGGATTGCAAGTACATGATGGTGGCGGTCTACACCTTTCCGGTGGATGGATCTGGCCGCGCTTTGGCGGAGGTTGAATGTGGAGACCTCGCACAACCGGGGTCAGCGGCAGTGGAGCCTCCATCCATTGATGCTGAAGAGTACACTCCTACCGAACCAGGCGGTGATGATCCTGGAGATGATATGCTGGGTGAAGAACCGCATGAGATTCCGGGGGAGGACGATGGAGAAAAAGATGGTGGGGCTGTAAAAAAGGGGCATGAAGCCTTTGAAGCATGGCAAAAAACCATCGAGGAGGCCCAGGATGTCATGGTGCGAAATTTGACCTTCGTTGAGGTGCTCCCAGGCCGTGCGGTGACCCACATCTTGCCCGCCCT